TATGATTCTATTTCTAGAAAATGTCCAGAAGAGGCAAATCTAAGGAGAAAGAAAGCAGGTTGGTGGTCACCTGGGTATTAGGGGAGAAAATGGAGGTGAACTGAAAATGGGCCTGAGGAATCCAACTGGGGGAATGAACATGTTCTAACTGAATTACAGCAATGGCTGCACCACTCAGCGAAGTTACTAAAAATCACCGATTTGTGCAACGAAAATGGGCAGATTCTATGATATGTACAATACACATCAAGTTGATATAAATAAATGTTTGTTCATCTACGTGTCATTTAAATCACAAAACTAATTGACAGATTCTGAGTGCATCTTGATAAAGGTATTTATATTTGAGTGAATAAGGAGGGAACATGGGGAAGCCTGGCCTCACAGCAGAATGCCAACCAGTAAGTGTATCTCCCCATAAACTTTACTCATTCTGATTTAAAAAATAGTAACTTTAGGGGAGTCTGGCTGGTTCAGTCGGTAAAGCGTGCGACTCTAGATCTGGGGGTTGTGAGTTCCAGCCCCACGCTGGGTATAGAGGTTACTTAAAAAATACAATCTTTAAAAAAATATAATAAATAAAAGTTAGTGACTTCGCAGTGGAGAAACCTAATAGAAATCACCTTAGCTTAGGTAACAACGTTGAGTTCACCGATATACGGACAGACCGACGTCCTTTGGCTCCTGTTATGCTGCAATGTCAAGGACGCCTCAATGTTCTATGGGATTCCTGCTAATGACGCATTACCGAACCTAAACACGTAGTAAGTACATTTGATAAACCCCAAATGGAGAACTTTCTCCAAACTAACTTGCCTCTACACTCTTCAAAAGCATCAAGAACAGGGGCACCTGGCTCAGTCGATGGCACGTGTGACTCTTGCTCTCCGGGTTGTGAGTTCGGGCCCCACGTTGGGTGTAGAGCTTACGTGAAAAACAAAAAGTAAAAAAAAAAAAAAAAAAGAAGCACCATCAACAAAAAAGACAAAGGTTATGGAATGCATTCCACATTAAAGAACATCAAGTTTATGATAAAATTTTTGTACAATGTCTATCAACAAATATACAGTTTAAGGCAGTACGTAAAATTGGACTTTGAAATGAGTTAGGGGAGGCGAGACTGGTTATAAGGCGTTTATACATGAAAAACAGAACAAAATTACATAGAAGACTGCAGATTACAAACCAGGATGTTATATGTTATCTAGCATTATTTAATAAGTAACACCACCATTAACTACTATTTGTAATTACTTACTAAACATCTAACATCTGATAGATAACTCTATCATATAGTATAACATCCAATATTACCAAGCACGAGATGTTAAAATTCTATAATCAGCCTCCCCTAAATCCTTTTTACCAAGATACCTGATTACCCATATGTGGGGCTTCCTTCCTTCAGAAAGCTAAAAGAAGCTGTTATTGAATCGCAGGTATATTCCTGGTGTTATGTGGTTGACGGAGCCACAAGACAGACAGGCAAAATTTAAACAACTGGGGAATTTGTGTAAAGAGTATTTGAGGGGGCACCTAGATGGCTCAATCAGGTAAGCATCTGGCTCTTGATCTCAGCTCAGGTAGTGATTTCAAGGTTCGTGGGATTGAGCCCTGCATCAGGCTCTGCACAAGACAGCAAGGAGCCTGCTTGGGATTTTCTCTCTCCCTCTCTCTCTGCCCCTCTTCAACTCGCTCTCTCTCAAAACACGTAAGTTAGAAAAAAGAAAACAACTTAAAAAGAGTATATGAGAACTCCTTACACTAGTTTTGCAACTTTTCAATGGAAAATTTTTTAATTTTAAATTATGCAAAAATAAAGTCTTATACTGTCAGGAAACAGTCACAGGCACAACAATAATAACGGGAATAATAAAGATGATCATGAAATTAAATGGAAATTCATTTTTCTTGGCAATGTTTAAAAATTGGCCATAGCTCTGCGGCACCTTGCCTGGCTCAACTCTTGATCATATGAGCCCCACAACGGGTGTAGAGGTTACTTAAAAATCATTAAAAAAAGGGGCGCCTGGGTGGCTCGGTCGATTAAGCCTCTGACTTCAGCTCAGGTCATGAAGTCACAGTTCATGAACTCGAGCCCCGCGTCGGGCTCTGTGCTGTCAGTTCAGAGCCTGAAGCTTGCTTTGGATTCTGTCTCCCTCTCTGCCCCTCCCCTGCTTGTGTTCTGTCTCTCCCTCTCTCTCTCTCAAAAATAAATAAACATTTAAAAAAAATTTTTTTTAAATCGTAAACAAAATTTCCATAGTTAAAATACATCAGAGGTTACACACAGAAAAATATGATCATTGTGTAAAATGTTCATAAACAAACATATAAATATACACAACCACCAAATAGAAATGCATTAAAAGCTTCACAGTTATTATCTTTACATCCTCGATTACCAGGTAATTAAAATTTTTTCCAGGGGCGCCTGGGTGGCTCAGTGGGTTAAATGTCCGACTTCGGCTCAGGTCATGATCTCACCGTTTGTGGGTTCAAGCCCCGCATCAGGCTCTGTGCTGACCGCTTGCTCAGAGCCTGGAGCCTGCTTCTGATTCTGTGTCTCCCTCTCTCTCTGCCCCTCCCCCATTCATGCTCTGTCTCTCTCTGTCTCAAAAATAAATAAACGTTAAAATAAACTTAAAAAAAAAAAAT